TTAATAAATTAGTAGTAATAATAATAATAATAATAATAATAATAATAATTTGTCAAAATACATATATAAATCAAAAATGCCATTAATTTCTATTCATTTTCCTCTAACAGATCCTTCAAACAACCTTGTCATTTCTCCAGGTTCCACATATTTGTACGAAATTGCAGATTTATTTGAAAGATTTAGCATTCTAGATTGTAACCATATCAATTTTAATCAGTAAATAATCGAAGTTGAATAACCCGATTTCATTCTGTTGACGTTTCTAACTCGAACATTTGATGTTTCAAAATATCATCTTCAGGATAAATGTGATAAAATACTTTTTGTGTATTTATCCTAAAGATTATTATCATTTATTTACCACCTTTTTAAGTTAAGTTTTTGAAGGATAACTCCTCAAAATTTTTAAATGTGATCATTTATCAATGAATTATAAACTAGTCAGTAGTGTTTCTACTATATTAATCTAACAAACTGGTTGTGTCTTAAGTAATACATGAAAACTTATCTTGACTGATAATCTGCATAAATCAGGATGATTTATTTTACAAATTAACATATTTTTAAGTTTTTATTTGTAAGATTACACAAGCGAATTACAATGTCTGCCACACACAACCTTAAAGGGCAATTAAATGCAATCAATTATAAATAACTTCAGTTACTATATTGGTTATATTACAGCTTTAAGTTTCTGTGAAAGAATTTAATATTGCTGGTTAAAAGGTTAATTTTCCATCAAATTTAACATTAAACGTAAACTATTGCAGTTATTATTAATTACAATTAATTGTTATTTGTTCTAAGCAATAACTTATCTTGACTGACTCACACAGTTAAACAAACATTAAAGTTTATTTAGCACTCTGCCTAACTTTTTTTACGTTTACAAGTTTCTTGTCCTAATTGTGTTGACTTGGCAGCAGAAATGTTAATAGCATTGTTGTTATTGGATACATTGTGGATGTAAAGCCAATTTTAGGTGCAAATGCTTATCTTGTTTACATTCTGTAATGTCTATGTATGATAAAATTATTCTGAGGAAGCTGAAAAATTAAATTTATCAAAAATTGATAATTTCAAAAGGTTTCTCAAATCAAACTGCTACATATAATGGAACACAATGGGACCTGGCACATGCTGGAAAGACTACCCATGTAAAATTTCCAAGGTCTCCGACCTGGACTTTTACTTGGGACTCTGGAGCAACAGGCCAATACCTTTACTGTCTCACTCATCTGGCAATCTATTATTGATTTTGACAAACTGGAAACTCATACTCTCCTTTCCCAATATGTTAAAGATGTGCATAACAAAACAAATGCAGTTATACACAAGCAGCGGCGGCCTTATCCATTGCGAGGCTCTGGGCGGCAGATCTTTGCGAGGCCCTTGTCCTTTGTGCAAAGTATGTGAATTGAAATAGTAGGCACTTATTAATATTAATATATACTGTACTATAAATTAAATTTATTTTATTGTTATAACTAATAGCCAAGGATAAAATAAAAAGTTTTAAATATCAACTTTTTTCTACTTGGTTGTTGCGCGAGGCCCCTCCAAGAGCGAGGCCCCGGGCGATTGCCCTGCTCGCCACCCCCTAAGGCCGCCACTGTCAGCGACTGCCTTCAATTAAACCCGACAGACGTTTGCCTTCAATCCTTATCGGCCTATTTTAATGAATACAAAAATACCTACAACTATTAAATCAATCTAACTTTTTTCTCATCTCTCATTTTATCTGCCAACGGTCGACAAACAGTTTATTCATCCACTTATTTTCGACGTTGCTCATTCACAAAGTCCTGAATCACCAACGACTCCACACCCTCTTGTGCATTCTCCTATAATCCCTCGACATCTGTAGTGATTTTGTCAAACGTTTCTTCTAGACCTTTAAAGTTCTTCAACTCTAGATTTCCATCTGTTTCTCCAACCAACTCCACTCACATACGTGAAAAACAACTACACGGGGCCATTGTTGCCACGCTAATTTGCTTGCTATCGGTAGATTCCTTAGGCAATTTTCGGTATATTTCGGTAGTTTTCGGTAAATCGACTTTTTGTGGCAGAAAGGAGGTTGCACATAAACAATAACATTCTTTTTCGTCATTTATTTTATTATAAACTATAAAACAAAAAACTAACACAGAACACTTACGTAAAAAAATAATAATTTACTAATTAAATAGTACATTTTGTCTTATTTTTCTAACAAAATATTACCTTTTATTTTTCGGACATTAATAATAATTATTATTATTCAATATTTTCCGTTTGTATGTTTTTTAACACACTGTTTGTTATTTTTGAAATTAAATTATCTTTTACAGGAAAATCGTAACAGTAATTTTTTCCAATTAATTGTTTAGTAAGAAGTAAGCCAGTGATTGTTTCAAGCTCAGTTTATTTTTTTGTTTCGTATTTAACAGATTTACTTACGAAAATATTCTTTCTACATTAGCTGAAGAATGGGGCAGACACAAGATATTCTCAACAAAACGAGATAGAGTCTTTGCAATAAAGTCTCATACAATATATAAGAAATGAAGGTACAAAGAAATGTTTTATTGAGAATTTTTAGATACATTTAAAAAAAAAATTCTTTCTTGAATTATCGTAAACCTTTCGGTAGATTTGGTGCTTCAATTCGGTAGACGTGGTAACAATGCACGGGGCGAAATAGCCAACATAACTAACGCCTAACTTCACCGCCAGAGGGTGGCAAGCAAGTGCGTAATCGAGGGCGACGTGTGTTATCATTTACTTGTTTACAGGTATGTTGGCGATATTGCAATGTTTATTTGATGATAATTCGTCGTCTAATGGAAGGGAATATCAATAACGAAATAATAATGCAAAAATTAAAAGTGAATATTTGTCGATTGACAAAATGAAATCATTGGTTGTGTTTTAGTTCAGCTGCTGGAGGTCGTAGTTTCGCTTTCGCTTTCGTGACGTTAAACAAGACACTAAAAATAAGTGTCTTGTTTAACGTCATTGATAAAATTTAAATCTGAAAAAAATGCAAGAATTTTAAAATTCTTAAAATGCCTAATAATCTACTATATTGTAGCTGTGTTCAGAAATTGAACATGCATGGAAATAAAAGATAAATAAATGGAAAAATTATCCTCCTGTAAGTAAACTTTTGTATTAGGTTTCTGTTACCGGTTTTTGTAGACTTTAAAGAATTAAAAGCTAGTGGCTTTCTTTCTTTAGTAACATATCACACAAGGAACAGTTTCCTTTAATAAAAACTACATAAACAACTGTTCCTTGTGTGATATGTTACTAAAAAAAGAAAGCCACTAGCTTAAAATTTTGTATATTTGAAACTTTATATTTAATCTATGAATAATTTGCTAAAACTACTTTGTCTTCTTTTGTAATCTGTCATTGAATTCCTTGATAAAAAGTTGCACATGGTTTGCATAGTTAATTTTGATTAATGTTACTTGTGGTGAATAAAATAGTGGTGCTTCCAGTCACCATTTTCAATGTGATTTGAGTCTGCGTAGTAACCGATACAGGTCTGCGATGTGCTAGTTACAATAATTCAAATTGGGATTTTTTTCTAAATATAATAATGTGGTTTTAAATTAAATTCTTAAAATTACTTACATTATTGATCCTTTTTTTTCCATTTTTTGACATTTTATCCCAACCGAACTTGACTCTGTCGTTGACAACTATCACCATATGTAATTTTTAAAATAATAACATTTCTGAAAAAGAAATTACCAGTTGGAATTTTGGAACAAGTACAACAGAAGAAGAATGGTCAGATGATAAAACAGTATTGGCACTCTTGTGCTTGACAAGGGCATTTGGTGGAAAGTATAAAGAAAAAATTGAAAGAGAAAAAAGTGACATGATAGTTATACCATAAGGAATAACTGGTATTTTACAACCTCATTATGTATCAATCAACAGTCACTTAAAGTGCACTTATGGTAGTTGTATCGTGTAAATAGAGGCACAATTTTTTTTGTAAAGAACATCCAGCAGATAATTGAAGAAATCATCATTGTATCAACTGTGCCACTAAATTGTATCTGCATGGCCATTAATACTCTTAGAAATAGTACAAAAAAGTTTTTAAAAAGCAGCAATTTCTAATGAACTGGATGAAAGTGAAGATAAATCTATATGGTTTAATAATGATTCATATGACTGTGATTATGATGTCAGTGATGACTGACAACAATTAGTAATCAGTGTTTGTAAATATTTTAATAAATATATTTATAAAAATATTATTGATAGTGTGCAGTCCATGAAGCTGTGGAAGTGCCGCTTTCTTTGTATTTTCTAAAATATAAATACATATTGTGCAATTATTTTTATACTTTAATGTACTTTGAATTACTTAAAATTTATATTTGATTATAATCACATTATATATTTGATTACAAATTTCTATATATGTGAAAAACAATGATAAGATTGCTATTGTACATTTGAATATACAGTAGAGCGTCTATTATCCGAATCAATTGGGGACTAGAGTTGTTCGGAAGATCGATGTTTCGGATAACCGATTATATACGAAAAAATATATTAATTTATACCATCTTGACATTTTTCTGCGTTGCGTGTCGCTTCACATTGAATTTTCGTCGATGTTAAGCCTAACGAAGACTATTGTATCGTTAAAAATTATTTTTTTATTTTGTACAAATAAAATAAATATATTGAAAAATATAAAAGCAATAAAAAATTATACTTCAGAAGTTAATTTAGTATCAAAAACGTAAAATATTTGAGTAGCCCAAGACATAGCCAAAGATTGCAGCGCCACAGCACTGGCGAAAATTTAAATTTGCCGACTGGAATTCTTTCGGATGATTGGCTTTCGGATAATCGACGTTCTACTGTAAATTCATATATAGTATGCATATTTCCAATGGAAGCAGTTATTGAATACAGGACAGTTTTCATGGCGAAAATATTTGAATCATGTAAAGCAGCTATGTAAAGTATTGGCTTGTAAACAAGTTGTAAATAGAGAGGGAACAAAAGAAACATCAATCTCGCTAAGAGATGTAAAGAGTTGGCTTGTAAACAAGGTTGTAAACAGAGAGGGAACAAAAGAAATGCCAATCTCGCTAATTGGATCCACGTATGGTCCGGTGATGACCACTTGCCAGGTGGTGAACTACTGGATGTAAACAAGTGGGTCAGAATATCGGCAGACATAAGTGTAGGCTTTATTATCATCTGATAGAAGCAGACCTGGGTGAAAGCTGTTCATGCAAGGAAGGTTTATGATTAGTCGGAAGTTTTCGCCCAGGAAATCTTTAAATTGCGGAGCGAGGAGGAGAGAAGGGCAAGAGACTGGATACACAATAGTCTGTGGCTTTTGGGAAGCCTGCTAAGCTTAGAGAGAGCATACTCCTCTGGTAAACATCTCAGGTACAGGTAAGTGCAGTGACTGGATGAACTGTGCAGTTGAGCCACTCCATCGGCTGACCTAGACCTCTCAAGAACCTAATTGTTCCCTACGTCAAATTACACCACATTCCGTGTTTAATGTGTTTTCTAACTGGTATAGTGTATGTATTTTTGTAAGTAAACTGTACATTACAGACTATCTTGAGTGTGGAGGTGTTCTTCCAACGAACCTGGATCACATTTAATTGAGTTGTGATAAACACAGAAAACCAACTCAAGATGGAGTTAGTAAGGAAACTTCACTAGCCAGATTACAGGATTTGCTTTACAGAGCACCAACCTCAAGCAGTTTAGCTGGTGGATGTTACAAAGTACTTATAATGCTTCCAATGATTCCATCCATTAGCCACTTGTAGTGAGCTATTTGACTAAGTGCATTGTTTTAAGATTTAAAAAGTAAAGAAGATTTTATGTTATTTTTATGTATGTTTCTTTACAAAGATATATTTAATTATAAGTTCTTTTTAATTATAATTATATTGACAGATTTTCAGACATAAAATCTTTAGAACTTTTATTGCTTTTAGATGTTAATATTAATTTTTACAGTACCATCTATGAGTGCATCTGTTGAGTGCAGTTTTTCACCCATTGAGCAAATTGATACATTTGCAAGGAACACTCAGAGGAAAGATTGTCGTCACTGGCATTGCTTTCAATTGAAAAAAAGTTTTTAAATACTTTGATGGAATCAATGACAAGTGATTTTTATGATAAAGTAATTAATGACTTTATGGGAAAAAAATTGCTGAATAAAGTTAGTTTATAAAAGTTAATAAAAACAAGTTCTTCTATCTTTGTTTCATGTCAGTTATCTATCTATTTTAGAATTAAAATAAACAAATTGTTTATTTTTGTCATTTTCAATATTTGTTTAAAATTTTTACGGAAACACAGTTTCCCTATCATCAAATGTCATCACATACCACTGCAGCATACAGTTTAGAAATTATCAATTCAAGCATTAAAATATTGCTTTTTCTGTTTCACTTCTGTTAACAAATCATTGTAGATATATGTAAACAACCAGTCAAATATTCTATAATAATAACGTTATTATTCAGACTATATATAGTTTGGTTATCTATAAATAATTTATATAAAATAGATTGAAACTAAAAAGAATGTTTTATGACTAATTTTCTTTGACCAGTAGTAATAGTAGTAGTATAATTTTATTCAAAATATATTAAGCTTTTAAACAGAATTTTGCAATAAGTTTTGCTTGTTTTAATAGTTAATTGATCCATTAATGTTCTTTTGTTTAAATTTTCATTTTTTGTGATCTGATGATAATACCAATTTAGTATCAAATATCTGGGAAAGTTGTACAGTGTGAATCAACTTTTAACTTGTGATTGGAATTTAAAATTAGCATATAATCCATACTGGCTTTCAAATTATATTTGAAATACAGATAACTTTTGGGCTATCCCTGAAATTATAATAGTTTCATCTCTTTGGAAAAATCAAATTAACAAAACTATAACTTTTTGCCAATCTGAAACCATGTTGCTATACTTTTTGTTGTTTAAGCACTATAAAGTGCAATTAATCGACCACTAGGCATCCTTTCATCCTTTTATTTTTTATTTAGTTGATATGCGTTGTTTACACATTTCGTGCTCTATGTTGCCCCTCTTCAGCCAACTAATTTTTTAAAATGAGCTAGGAATAATAATCTGTACTGGTTTATACACCTACTCTGTAAAATATGTTTAAACATCAATTATAGTTGGTTCCAAAAGATAGCTATTTGGTAGGTATGTTTGTAAATTAATTGTATTGTTTTTGTCAATTTAATGTCATGTAATAATTGTGTATATTTTTAAAGATTAGTTGGCTGAGGAGGAGCAACATAGAGCCCGAAACGTGTAAACAATGCGTATCAACTAAATAAACAATAAAAGGATGAGAGGATAAGGATGCCTAGTGGTAGATTAATTGCACTTTATAGTGCTTAAACAACAATAAATAAATATATATATATTTGTTATATATTTATAACAAAAATTTGTATACAGTAGACCCCCTATAACACGGGTTCATATAACACGGATTCGTAAAACATGGTGAAAAAATTGCGATCGTGTTCATATAACGTGCTAAAAGACTCATATAAAGTTTTGTACAATGATGTACTTTTGGCAAATCTCCTTCACTTTAATTATGTGAACAATAGTTTATGGACATCCTGACATTGAAGAAAGGAAAAAGTTTTCAAAAATTGACATCAATCTATTCTAAACCAATGAAAATTCAAAAATTTATGACTTTATATTCTTATTTTATAGTACAAAAAATTCAGATTTCATTCATTAAATGCAAGTAGTTTAAAAAAATAAAATTGAAAATAGAAAATAATCAATAAAAATTGCCCTAAGTGATAAAATTTGCAATTAAATAACACACAAAAATTACAAAAATAATTTTCCTGTTATGATAAGAATAAACTAAATTAACTTTTGTTGCTTGAAAACTTGGCAATTGAAGATGATTTTTTTTTTATTTCGGACCAAAAACTTTTCTGATACATCAGCATTTTCTACATTATCTTGTGTGCTTCATTTTTTTCCAATAATGGCATATCTTTCATTAATCAAAATTTTTTACTTTGTGAATTGACATATAGAAACAGTGATATTTTGAAAAACTCAAAAATCGCATTGTTTTATTTAATCT